ACGCTTTTATGAGTGCATCAATTTTAAAATGGGCCATCAATATCTCATAGCCTATTAGGGTTAAATTGAGAGTCCATTTCAGAGGCTAAGGGAGATATTTTTGTTTTAAACGAGGTGTGAACCAACCTCTAATAAGGCCCATTAGGATTAAATAGGCATAAGATAATTTGTTTTATTCAAGGCCTAATATTAAAAAAAAATGAGGCCCATTAAAATCTTGCTTGAAATCTGAAACAATTGGATCATTAGGCCCGTTCAGATTCCTTTCTTAACCAAACAAACTCTTTTTATTACTCAAAACCCATTTAAGAAGTTTGGAGGGCCCGTTTATGAAGACATAAGGGGGTGCGTTTTCATGTTTGGATTTATCTGGCCATTAAATTGGATCTTTAAAAGACCATTTCAAAATTAATTAGAAGGCAGATTCTTTTCAGTTATATAATTATGTTTATTCTTATGGATAATTTTATTATGAGCACTGATATTATGAATTATGTAGCTTTTATAATTATTATGATGATTATTAATATATATATATATATATATATATATATATATATATATATATATATATATATATATATATATATATTTATATATATATATATATATATATATATATATATATATATATATATATATATATATATATATATATATATAATATATATATATATATATATATATATATATATATTGATTGCTTTGTTTATATTTTTTATATATATTTGCAGAAAATTAATGTTGGTAAAAAGGCCCCAAGCTAGCTGGTTTTTCTTTACATGCAGTTATCTCCAAAAATAACGCAGGCCCAATGTACAGAATAAAATCAGAAATGGCCCCAACAAACATTTACTATATGAATCAAAGTATTTCCCATTTTCGTCTTCATCAAACGAATGGTCCACATTCATTGATCGTTATAAAAAATATACAGCAGCAGCAAGCATCAGTTTGAAAAAAAATAGAAACAAATATAAGAGAAATAACAAACCAAATCAAAGTTATTTCCTAAATTAAAATTACCAATAAAACTCAATTAAACTCAATTAAGTTATTTCCTGAAAAGAATCCAATCCTTGGATCTTTAAAATCTGAACAAAATTACGAACAGATGGGGGAGGGAGATCAAAATTACAAGACGAACAAAACCCATTTCTTCTCTGGATCCATAAACCTATTTTGACGGAATTAATTCCTCTTTTCTTCTTCCATATTATTTCATCACCACCACCTTGTAGCTTATTTCCTACCTACAACAACATTCCATCCCACGCCCAGATTTCGTAACACACAAATTGATAGAAACCAGTCATCCAGCGACACACACCTCCCTTCGTTGTGTGACCACCAACAGAGGCACACTCGTATCGAGTCTAAACTCAGTCATCTCTCCATATCGCTCCTTGCCAACCGAACACACCCACAACCTTCCTCCCATCTCTCAACGTTAACCTCACCCACACCATAATTGTCACCACTACCACACTTATGGCCACCCATGCATCTCAATTGCATCGCACGACTGGTGCATACCAGCCACCATCGATTGCCTTTTGTTGTCTCAGAAAGAAGCACAAAAAAGGGTGCAACTTTTTAACAAAGAGGAAGAGGTTTGTGATAAAAAATCTATGAAGAAGAAAAAGGTTGGGTTTATCTCTCTCTCTCTCTCTCCTCTTCCTCTCTCCTCCCTCCTCTCTCTCTCTCTCTCTCTCTCTCTCTCTCTCTCGCTCTCTCTCTCATCTCTCTCTCTCTCTCTCCTCTCTCTCTCTCCTCTCTCTCTCTCTCTCTCTCTCTCTCTCTCTCTCTCTCTCTCCTCTCTCTCTCTCTTCTCTCTCTCTCTCTCTTCTCTCTCTCTCTCTCTCTCTCTCTTCTCTCTCTCTCTCTCTCTCTCCTCTCTCTCCGTTAATGTGTGCATTAAAGGGTTCTATTTATTTATTTTTCTTTTTTAAATGCCACGTGTCATCTATTAATTGGCTAATGGGGTAAATTGAAAAGTCAATATTTTTTTATCTATTTAAATTTTCTGATACTTTCCAGCATAGCAACAGAGGGAGTGGGCCGTCCCAATCTCTTTTCCTTATTACTTATCTTTTTTTTTTCATGTTTACCATGTGTTTGGGTTTTAGGAAGGATAAGTGGGCCTTGGGCCTTGTACAGACTGCTAAGCTACACTCCCCTTACTAATTGTACACTTTAGTTTATTTGTTTTACTTGTTTTAGTTAATCAGATTAACTAATAATATTAGTTAATCATATCATTAGAATTAGCTAAATTTCATGCAAAAATATAATTCATAATTCAATTTTTTTCAAACATTCTATAATCGATAGGATGTCCATCTTCAAATAATTAAATGGGTCGACATATCGTCTACTGGTTTATTATTCAATATCAAGATATTAAAACCCCGCGCTTAAAAACAATCTTCGCAATATAATTTAGGTTAAAGTTTCATACCCAAATATTATAACCCTCATTTTTTCATTCAAACTATAGTATTCGTAAGCGACACGTGGCCAATATCTGGCCACGTGATAAGAGAGCTATATCAGACTCTTCGATTATATACGTCTAAAAATACGCAAACAGGCGTCAAACTATTTTTGTAATAAATTAAATCAAACAATTAATTTTCAAAAAGGAATACAAAGAGTTTTTAATTAACTTTGCGCTTAGTTTCAAAATCTCCGTTGTCTAGACATTTGAACTAAGTGCGGGGAAAATTAAAATATTTGTGTAATCCATAAAAAACACCAATCAAACCGCGAACTACAAAATGGGACTCTGATTCCTCCTAAGAGGATACATAGGCATACGATCAAAAAATCATGGCGAGTCCATTAACTAAAATTCAAACTCTTTTCCCTAATAAAATAATAAAAACCCTATTTCCTAAACATCGCGCTTCTAAACTTAGTATCCTTGTGAACAAGGTAGACAAGGGGTGCCTAACACCTTTCCCCTCGTCTAGAACCGAGTCAAACTTAGATCTTTGAATTTCTTTTAGGGTTATTCCTTTATACTCCCTTCTTTAGGATAAAAATTAAGGGTGGTGACTCTAATTTAAAAACCAGTTGCAATAGCTGGCGACTCTGTTGGGGACTCAACCCTAGGTTTAGAAGCCTTATCTTTCAATTTTAGGGTTTTTCTTATTTCTTTTGGGTTTTTTTTTTCTTATTTAATTACTTACTTATTTTCTTGACTATTCTTTATTATTAAAATTATTTTTATATTTGTTGTGGGATTTAAAATTCAGCAATATTATCTTAAAACCCTTAGAAAGAAGGTTCGTCTATTAGCCAAGGGGTTACATCAACCCTATGAGTTTATGTGATGACTTCGCCTAAATCGGTGGAATTTTGCAAAAGGAATACCTCTCGAGAGACATCCTCTTGGGAATTAGGACTTTGGAATGATACCTATGACTCTTTGTACGACCTTTAAACCAAAATCTCGTGATGAGACCTTTCATGACCTAGAGACGAAGTTTCGGTCTGTAAGAGACTCCGCTTAAGGGACGCCCTTGTGCCTTTCCCTCTAGTGGTATTCATGATATCATAAAGAAACCCACCTTATAGGGAGGGTAGAATATCCATAGGCCAATACTAATAACCTACCTTCTAAGGATACCTTTCACAAATCCCACTACAATCTGCAAACCCGAAGGGTTATACCTTCATCTAATATTATCTCTGGCCCATAGGGCTTCCATCTCTGTCGTATTCCCTATCCTCTAGGAACTCCTCGTCGTCTTTTACTAGTCATAATCCTTAGGGATTCCTGCATGTCTCAATCTCTGAGATAATATAGGGTATCCTCAAATCTATGCATATTATCACCTTCGTCCTTAAAGAGTCTCTTCATGTCTCCATCTCTCAGATAGTGTAGGATATTATCATTTCCATCATTAAACTTGTATAGGGTACCCTCATGTTTACCTTCATATTACGTCCACGTCGCATTGCATATCCATGAAATTTTTAACATACCCTTAAAGCCAAAAATATTTTTGCATACCCATGCATTTACATACATCCATACATTTGCATCTCATTCATTTCCACCTTCGCCCTTTATTATCCATATGCTAGCTGATTTCTCGGCACTTGCAAACGAACTTAAGAAAATATGTGTTGTACCCCAAAATTTGCCCTCTCATTTATCAAGATTTTTCTCACAAGACTTCTTTGAATCAAGACAGGATTAGGGTTTGGTCAGCTCAAGACACCTCATCTTGCAATGATAACCCAAAATTAGGGTTTAAGTTTGCACAAGGATTTTTGGACCACCAATGCTTCATGTTACTTTCATACATCATTTTGGACCCCTAAGATTGCTCATGTTAAGTTTCAAGCCTTGAACCACATTTTTTATCAGTCAATTGGACAATTGACCTAAAAATCAGTTGTATTGGGGAAAAAGTCAACCATGGCCAATTTACAGTCAAACTTCATAATTTTTTATCACGTCAATATTTTAGACTCATATGTACCATTTGATCAAGTTTGGATCACAACACCTCAAGAAATTTGATCAAATCATCAAAAGGGCAAAATGGTCAAAATTAGGGTTTTGACTGAGGAAGGGAAATTTCTGATTTTTAACCTAGCCAATGACCAATTGAGTTCAAGCATGATTTCAAATATTCAATGGCATCATCTTGACTTAATTACATGGTTCAAAAGATCTCAAGTTCATTGGATTGACAGATGAAATTTGCAGTCAACTGATCAAAAGTCAACTATACACTGAAAAGTCAAACTTTGACTTTTTGGTCAAAATCAAGTGCCAAGGGTCATAATTCATCAAGATATGTCAAAATGTGAAACTTGTTGACCAAGAAAACTAAATTTGAAAATTAGGGTTTTAATTTGAAAATTTTCATAACTTAGAATTTTTCTAAGTATAAAAATTTTCTTATTTTTTCTCAACTTTTCACCACTTTTTCATTATGATGCATTTTGATTCAAGAAAAGTTCCCAACATGAAAGTTGTATTCCTACATGAAACCTACAACATTTCTTCACAAACTTTTCCCTAAAGATGTTTGTATCTCATGTTATAAATTTGTGAATACATACTCATGAACTAAATAACTTAGTGAAATTTTGCCCTAATTTAGGCCGGTTTTGGACCCAACTTCATGGAAACTTTTCACATAGTTCCAAGAGGTATCTCAAATTTCATTTCAAAGATGGATTATAGAGCATATTTCAAGCTTTCCAAAATGTCCAAGAAATCTCCAAGATCATTTTTGAGTAGGGAGAATCGAAGAGAGGAAGTTGGCATTTTCTCACTTTTTGTTCAAGCCATTTTCACATAGAATCAAGTTGCAAACCAAACCTATGTTGATTGTTTATTGCTTTACAGGTCCTAAGCTTGCTATACACTCCTTAATTAAATGCATACTCAGTTGAAAAAGCCTTTATCCTTGCTTTTGAAACTTTACACAAGTTGTAATTCCATTTTGGGCAAAAAGGCTTCAATGCCTTTTTCATAAAGATGCACTTTTGCAACTTTGTCAACTTGGAGCATTGGACCTGTCCCCTTGATACAAGAAAACTACATATCTCTTAAGCAATTTGTACAAATTCATATCATCTCTAAAGCAAGCTGGTACAAGCATGTGAGATTGGTCTTGTCAACTTTACTTCAAGTACAAGAAAAGTTGCAAAAGGGCTAAAGCTTGCACAGCTAGTAGGAAGCTGACTTTGGATCACTTCTATACTAATATGCAAACATTGTACAAATCATTACACGCTTGGCTTGGACTTAGAGCTCTCTCAAACTGAAAAACACCAAAAATCTGCCCAAGCACACAGTTTCTGCAAAAACTCAGCCAACTCTCATTTGGCTCGTGCGTTTTGTGTTTAACTGATCCAAACATCTTACATACTCCATACCTAGTCAATCCAAGCCATCACCCTGGTTCTGTAATCTCGGTTTCACCATCTGCCATTTTCAAATTGGAAGCTTGCAGTTGGACTTGGTCAGGGAGTTCCAGCCATCTTCAGAGCAAGATAAGGATTGGAATAGGTTCAGGGAAGCTCAAGGAAGCTCAAACAATCATCAGGCCTCCATTAAAGTCCCTACATTGCCATAAACGATTCTAGATGAAGGAGGTATTTTCTTAAACTCTATCTCTTTATACAGGCAACCTCAAGCCACGATTTGTGAAGAAAAAATGTAGTTCTCATCATAACGAAACTGTACATATCCTTACTTTGCATTTATATTACTTGTCCTAAGAGAATTTGAAATTTGAAATCTCTGAAATTTTTAGGTCACGATTTAGGGATTCCAAAATTCTCTTTGATCTTTGATAGTTAGGTTACATAATTTATATGGTTGGAATCGTGAGCTCAAATGCCACATTTTTCATGTTATGAGTTTTCATTTTTATACAAGCATGAGGAAGATACAGGTTGTACTGAAAA